GCCTTCCAAGTTCTCCACGGATAAGATCAACGCGCACAAAAACAATAACAGCGGGGTATTAAAAGAAGGTGAAAAGGCAGCTCCCTCCGCAGCACACGCCCCGCGCGGGCTCCGCTCTCCTGCAGCGCACACGAAGCACGTGGAATTCGGCCAAGTGCTGCAAAGCAGCAGCTGGATTATTATTATTTTTAACTTYTTATTTAAAAGCACTATTTCCGCGTGGATTTGAGAGGGAATTGAAATATTGCTGCTTTCCAGTGTCAGCCTGAGCCAGTGACCCGGCCTCTCGCTGCTCCAGCTCTTGCACGGTGGCYGCTCTGCTGCTCTTCCCATCTTCATATGTCTGATCACACAACAGGCCTCGTGTGGAGCCGGCTGTCTCTGAAACCATAATAAAACAGCCAGGGATCCATTTGGTTGCTTGATGTGTTAGATGTACAGATATATCAATTTTTGGGATGTATTTAGTGTCTAATGCTAGAGCAGAACTTCRTCTGCAATGCTGGAGGTGGTACGCTTCCGTGTAAGATTTTATAATAATCTGTTGCTTTGAAAGTTGGTATTTTTGCTGACTTTTATAAGACAAATCTAAAGTGTGCATRTCCAAGGAACCTGTTCCTATCGTCTGCTCTTGTGTCCCGAGGGAAGCCCTTTGGATCTAAAAGTCTGCAGGGACTCTGCAAAGAGCTACGAAATCGTAGGTCTTGTTTGGCCCTTTCTGTGTCTTATTGTCCGTGATATTCTTTACAATATGTAAAACGTGCTCTACTAGAGCATCCTTCCCCCCMAAAATGGGTATATCTTTACAGGAATTTTTAATAGCTCAGGAAATATGATGTAATTATGCAGTGTTGCTGAAACTAGAACGGTACATAAGTCATAAGAACAGCCGTACTCGACCAGCACGCACATTTTTGCCCCATTCATGTTGCATGCGTGTGGGAAGAGAGCCCAACAGCATCTTCAGAACGAATTTTGCACGGACAGTTTTTTAAACACTTCCTTTTATGTAAGTAGGCCTGGGTGAGTCATGCCTTGTGCTCGGGTCAGCTTTCTCCCCATTGCTCAACATCGCGGGCAATGACAGCGGCTGGTGGGGAATCAAGGCACGGGAGGGGAAGGAAATGCCCGGAATGATCAAAGGCAAAGCTGGAAGAGGCACCTCATCCTCTGCTTGCTAGGTGATGCAGAATGAGTCCARTAATATTTTTTCCCCCAGTTCATATTGCATTAAGTAAAACGAAAAAGGATTTCACCATGAAAATTGCCTAAGCYGTTGCCAAAAAAATGTTGGCAAAGAATCCTTGAAATATATACCTATTTCAYTCATTGATGTTTCCAATAATAAATCTGTATGAAAATCAAGGAGTCTTCTGCAATCATCTGTTTTAGYTCTCTAGCAAATGGCATAGTTCAGCCCCGGATGCACCATCGGGGACTGACGGCTTCTCGTGTTCTCCGGTCCGTATCTCATGTCTGTTTCYGGAAGCGTCTCCGTTTTCCTGTTTCGTTGAGCTTGAGCAGATTTTCAGTTCATAATGATGTGGTGTTTTCCTAAGATGTAGGGGGAAAAATAAAGTCTTCTGGGCATCAGGCGCATTTACCTGGTATTGCAGTGCACTTCTGTAGCTTCACATGTCCCTGGTCTTTCTATATCCTTTCTATATCCTATGGAAGTGCCAGAGGAGCATGTTCAGGTAGATGCTATAGGCTGTACAGGCCATGCTTTTGGTGGGGTGTGCAGCACATATATATTATTAAAACTACTTATTTGTGGACTGCACTATTAAATAGTCATCGCTCAAAGCGAGAAATAAATAGTCCTAGGCGTGGAGTGTGGCCTTAGATGGTGCTCAGATCRTTAGGCTGCAGGAGGAGGGTTGCTCTGACCATCTAGCTCCCTCTAGGCCAAGGTCTCCTAGGCCGAGGTCTCCTGCTGCACTGTGGTGGTAAGCTGGGCTCTGGCAGATACGTGAATGGCCAGCCCTGCTCTGGTGACAAGGGTGGCCTTGGAAGAGGCTGGGAATGTCTGGGGCCTGCTGTGTCCTGTCCAGGTACCCCAATCCCTTGGGAGCAACCTCGGTGGGCAGAAGTCATGTTGAAGCGAGAATGAGGCCTGTGCTCTTATTGCCCTTGGGCACCTTCCTTCAGGAGAGGGCTTCCAGCCGTGGTCTCTGGGGTGGATGGATGCATCTCCTGTAGGCTCTTGTAGGTGTTGCTTCCTCTCTCATGCCTTCCATGCTTAGCGTTCTTGAACCCGCAGGCAGCTTCCCACTGGGAATGCAATATGAGCTTATTTCGTTTAAGTGTTGTGGGGTGGCTCTTACCTCTCCTTGCACGCTATGGAAGGTGTTTAGGTGTGAACTTTGGCCTTGCAAAGCGCAGCTCCGAGCACTTGGGAGGCGTTCGGGTTACCTGCACCCACCTCTGGATAACGCGCTCCCATGGGCAGGAATAGCTCGTTCCTGGGCACGGTGTATCCCCCCRGGGGTGGTTTTGGGGGTCACGAGATCATAGGACAAATCTTGGGCCCCTCGATGCAGGCTGGGCACAAAAAGGCTGTTTTGCAGGTGAGCTGGAAGGTCTGGAGATGGTTTCTGCCCGTGACGGCACCAACAGCGATGCCTGCGAAGCATCAGTTGTAGCAGCACGGACACAAAAACTAGTCCGGGGAAAAGAAGTTAATGCATTGCTTGCTTCCTCCCTTTGCCCCCGTTCTGTGCAAGTCCTCGGCGGAGACCTTGCACAAGCAGGCTGCCTTTCACATTTCATATGCATAATTACATCTTGCAAAGCAGTTTATTAATGGATCTATAATCACAGAGCCTAGCTTGTATACACACAACACCGGGGGCTGATTACGCTGCAGCTGCCCTAGATCAATAGATAGGCGGGAGTCTTGCTTRTTGGTGTCTCCTGGTGTCTGCACGATGTCTAGTGAGCAACGCAGCTTTGGCAGCACGTGGGGCTCCTCGGCACTGCTGCCTGGGAGAAAATGGGGATTTGAGGATGTGCTGGAGGAGGAGAAGGGCTATAGCAGCTATAGAGCACGTGTAAGGCCTGGCACTTGGAGGAAATGCTTTTCCCCTCGGCACGTCCTTTAAGGACATCCTTCCTCAGCCAGGAGCACCTCCCAGTCCCCTCTGCTCCGCGCGGCGGCTCCGGGAGCGGCGTGCCGGCGGCTCGGACCATCGCTGTGTTCTGAGGGTGACTCACGCCCCGGCCCCGGGAGCAGAGCCGCTTATCTCGGGGATCAGCCGCAGACAGGCTTTGCCGAGCGAGGCTTTGCCTGCTCGCACTTGCGCGGCCCCAACCGCGCGGCGACRTTCGCGGAGGTATCGGAGACACCCGCTTAGGAGGAGGTCGCGTTTGGTTCCGCGCAAGGGAAAAGGTGCTTTTTTGGTTTTTTTTTCCTCATTTTCGTGTGTGTATGAGACAGTAAAAGGCAAAAAGCAGTTCAGGCAGCTGCAGCGTTCCTATGAATCACAGCTCAGCTCAGCTAAGCTCAGCTTTCCCTCTCACGCCCCCAGCTACCACCTGCGTGGCTGCTCCGGCCATATCCGTACGTGCCCACTGCCTGGCCCCCGGCCAAGGAGGGCAAATCACCATTGAAATGATGCTGCAGATGTCTTTTTTTTCCAGCAAAGATGCTATTTTGGGTGTCYCCCCTGCATCCAGCTAGGAAGAGAATAGAAAAGGAGGAACTTCCCAAGACCTGAATCGCCTTATTGCGTGTTCAGAACCAGCAAAAGGCCCCACRGTTATTGGGGGGTTCCCATTTCAACTGGTTCCCATTTCAACTGGGAATCCTGTCCCTGCTTCAGATCCGCAATATTAGCAATAACTGCAGATCAACCCACCCGCAATTATTGCTTAATTATTTGAGGACCTCTAAAGGTGCCTGATATTTTGGGAGAATTCCCCTGAAGTTGGTACTAACCTCGGTTTAATCCAGACAGTATATGGTATCAATATACGGACATACATTCAATCCCATTTTTTCTTTCAATCTCTATTTCCAATCTGTATTTTTTTTTTTTTTTTTGCAATCTCTGCCCTTTCAGCGTGACTGTTACCGAGGGGCCCTTTTTAAGCCGTTCTTCTGGTGCTTTCAGGGCCCGAAACACACGCACGTCTCCAAAAAGTCCTGGAGAGCAGGAGATGCCTTGTTTTTGAAGCKCACCAACGCTTCGCCCCGGAGCCCACTACGTTAAAACTTCCTGTTGTTTATTTTATACATTAAGGTAGGAAATAGGAAAAAAATGCGAAAATATAGGAAAATATATATATGTATTTTAAAGAAAATTTGGGGAAAAACAACTAAGTTTGGGTTTTCGGGGAGCTCAACTATGTTGAAACTTCCTGTTGTATATTTTATACATTAAGGTAGGAAAAAATAGGAACTTATAGATGTATTTTAAGAAAATTTGGGGGAAAACAACTATGTTTGGGTTTAGGGGGAGCTCAACTACGTTAAAACTTCCTGTTGTATGTTTTATGCATTAAGGTAGGAAAAAAATAGTAAAATATAGGAATATTATATATGAATTTTAAAGAAAATTTGGGGAAAAACAACTAAGTTTGGGGGAGCGTGTGGAGGGGAGTTCGGGGGCGGAGGGGGGTCT